ATAATAATAATAATAATAATAATAATAATAATAATAATATAAAAGTGTTTTAAAAAAGCTATCTCCATCATGTATCAAAAATCTGCATATATGCTTAGATTTGTTTGAGCTCTGTATTCTGTTCCATTTGTCTATTTGTCTATCCTTGTGCTAGTGCCACAGTACCTGCACTCTAGATTTATATTAAATTTTGACGTGTAGGACAAGTCATCTTTCTCCTTTTTCGTCAAGAATGTCATAGTTATCTTGATAGTTTGTATTTCTGTATCAGATGTAGAGCCAACTTGTCAAGTTCCATGAGAAGATATTTTGAGGTACAGCTGAGATTGCATTTAATCTGTATATCAATTTAGGGAGAACCAACATTTTTGTAATTTTCCATCTTAAAATCCATGAGCATGGTATATTTCTTCACTGTTGTAGATCTTCTTTGATGTCTCTCAATGAACATTTTACAATTTTATCTGTAGGAGAACCAAATGTTTTTTTAGAAAAGTGGGAGTAGGGAGGCGAAAAGGGAAAGGATACTAGAAAGTGACAAAGAGGGGCACCTGGGTGGCTTTGTTGGTTAAGCATCCGACTTCAGCTAAGGTCATGATCTCTGGTTTGTGGGTTTGAGCCCCACATCAGGCTCTGCATTGACAGCTCAGAGCCTGTAGCCTGCTTCAGATTCTGTGTCTTCCTCTTTCTCTCTGCCCCTCTCCATGTATGTTCTCTCTCTCTTTCTCAAAAATAAATAGATAAAACATTAAAAAAAAGTGACAAAGACAGACTTCACTGAGGGGGACAGAAATTGAGAGACAGCATACACAATTCATACTGGTATTTTTTTCCACTCTGAGTTTTCATTGATGAAATAAGGTGAATAAGGCCTGAGGATCTAATGTGTAGTGTGGTGACTATCGTTGTTATATAACTGAAATTTGCTAAGAGAATAGAACTTAAATGTTCTCACCAAAAAAAAAAAAAAAAAAAAAAAAAAAAGGAAATATGTGTGGTGATGGAGATGTTAACTTGGGGAAATGCTTTCACAATGTACACATATATGAACAAAAATCACACTGCATGCTTTAAATATCTTATAATTTTTCAGTAAAGAATAAAACAAATGTAAATTAAACTTAAGATTTAAAAAACCCTGTTTTTATTTTCTTTAAGTCCTCAACAATATCCCTAGACACTCAGCTGATGATCTCATTTCCTACTGTTAGAAGATGTTGGCTATGCAACTAGAACACTTTTAATTTTCTATTTGTGGTGTGTCTCCATTGCAGAATTTTTCATCTGTCCATTCTTTCCTTTCACCCTAAATCTGAGGAAGGAATATGTATTCCTTGTGAGGAAGAAGTTCCCATGCTAATCTATCCATGAGTACTCTGATTCCAGGGCATTTGGGATAGTTGCAATTACAGATTCCTTCCTGCCTGGAGTATTCCTTTACACTCTCCACAGTCAGCCAATGGGCAGAGGCCCCAGATAAATGATGCCCACGTTTCTACTAGAAAGGTGTAACACAAAAATAATTGATTGTTACATGCTCTTGGCTACATCATTTATGAAATGAAGCTCTTGTTGCTTTGACAGATAAGGCCACTCTTTTATATGAGCTTTTCTGACCTCCTCCTGGGGATATGCCGGCTCATTGAGGCACTTCTCTATGGAACTTCAGCAGCCAATAAGGACATTGTTTGCTATAACCTGCAAGCAGTTGGACAGGTGAGTGGTCCTACACTGTGATTGTATCTTGTAAGACAAGAATACTCATACCTAAATAAAAAGCAAAGATAGTCCATCTTGGGAAGTAGGACCCCTCTGTTTATTGTTAGACTTTGAAACAATAGCTCTTATTGTTTTCTGTATTAAAAAAAAAAACACTACTTATCATAGAAAATGCGGAAAATTCAGAGAAGCAAAAAGATAATTAAAATCACCCAGACATAATCACTCTTTAATATTTTAGTATAGATCTTTCCAATCTTTTTCTCTGTAGGTATATGCATTTTAAAACAAAAGAAGACATTAATACTTTCTGTAATTTGCTTTTGTTATCCAACATATCCAACATATTATGAATGTATTTCCATGTAATGAAACATTCTTTAACAGTATCTTTTGAGATTAATGCATGTTTTTTTATTAAAGGAATAGAGTAAACATTGGCTTTGGGAAATATTACAGATCATGATGTTTGGGTTATAGATCTTTAACAGATTTTATCAGTGGATTAACCCACGCAGTACCATCTGTATATATAATGTTTCTTCTGTATTTCTCAGACTTGCTATATGAAAAAGTAGAGGTTAAAAAGTCTGTACTCATTGCTAGGTATTCCCTTTAGGATTTGTAACTAGAGGGAAAATTTCTTTCAATTTAGTAGGAAATAACATGTAATTGGTGGTATGAAATCCAGGTACTAATATATGTTAACTATCTCATATGAATTTCAGTGTCATAGAAACATACTTTATTCAATCCTCCTAATACATCATAAATAGAGTAACATTGTATTGTTTCCTCAGATAAGGAAATGATATAGTTTTGGAAGTAAAAAAAATCTGCATAGAATTCATGACCTGAGCCGAAATCAAGAGTCAGCCATTCAACCAACTGAGCCACCCAGCTGCTTCTGAACAACATATATTTAAAGTGTACAATTTGATCTTTTTTATGTATACCCCTGTCAATTCATTACTGTAATCAAGATAACAAACATTTCTATTTTCCATCATCCCCCAAAATCATTTCAAGTGTATTTTCCTTTACCTCATGGAGCATATGAATAATAATAATAGTTGCTTTTTAAATTACTTGTTGGGTATTTCCAGTATCTGGCTCATTTCTGAGTTGGTGTTTATTGATTGTCTTCTCCCATGATAATGGGTGACAAATTTCTCATATGTCAAGTAATTTAGGATTTCATCTTGGACATTGTGAATGCTATTTAGCATAGGCTCTTGTGGTTCAAATCTTAGTCTAGTTCTGTAAACTTTAACTATGCTGGTTTTGGGCTGTCATGTGCATGCACATTGTAGGGGTTAGGTTGAGACTTATATGGCATCATACACAGAATTAGGACATCTGCTTTTCTGGCTCTGTCACTTTTGGGATTCCCCCCACACTTTCCTGCCTGAAGGGGGACCTTCTCTGGTGGCCTAAAAGATAGGTTTCTATTAGAGTTTTAGGTTCTTCATTGAGAAGCATCATGATTGGGGTGCACACTTGAGGAAAAGCTATAAGAAAGCGAGAGAAAAAAAATTTGGAAAGCTCACTTTTGTGAAGTTTACTTCTGCATGTATGACTCCCATGTTTGATTTTGTTTACTTTTCAGAGTCTTCCAGAAGTTGATTTTTATAATTTTCCCAGAGTTTTTGTTTGTAATCAATGGGAGGGATGGGCTGTAGAGGGCTAAAACACACTAGCTATTGTGATAAAATATGCATAACATAAAACTTACCATTTTGATCATTAATTTTTTAAAAAATTGTGGTAAAAAACACAGCATAAAATTTACCATCCTGAACATTTAAAAATGTACAGTTCAGTGGTACATTCACATTGTTGTGTAATATCACCTCCATCCATCTCCTGAAATTTTCGTCATTCCAAACAGAAACTCTCTTTCTAGTGATTCCACTTCTCTCACCAAGCCCCAACCATTTTACTTTCTCTAGTAATTTGACCATTCTAGTTACCTCATATCAGTGAAATCATACAATATTTGTCCTTTTGTGTCTAGCTTATGTCACTTAGCCTAATGTCTTCAGTGCTCATCCATGTTGTAGCATGTGTCAGAATTCCATTACTTTGTAAGGCTGAATAATATGCTGTTGCATGAATGTACCACATTTTATTTATTTATTCATCCATCAGTGGAACCTTGAGTTGCTTCCATCTTTTGGCTATTCTACGTAATGTTCCTGTGAACATGGGTATACAAATACATGTTTCAGTCTTTGCTCTTCTTTTGAGTATGTGAAGTAGAATTGCTGGATCCAATGGTAATTCTATGTTTAATTTTTTGAAGAACCACTGTATTATGGTGTCATCATTTTATATTTCCACTACATAACTGTCCTAATTTCTCCACATCCACATTAACACTTGTTTTCTGGTCTTTCTTTCTTTCTTTCTTTCTTTCATAGCCATCCTAATGAGAGTAAAGTGGCATATCATTTTGGTTTTGGTGTGTATTTAAAGTGATATTAGTGATATTAATGATGTTAAATATCTTGTCATGTGCTTATTGGCCATTTATATATCTTCTTTGGAGAAATGTCTGTTTAAGTTCTGTGTCCGTTTTTAAAATGGGTTTTTTTTTTTGTTAAATTATAGGAGTTCTTTATATATAATGAGTATTAACTCTTTATCAAATGTATGATTTGCAAATATTTTCTCCCATTCTCTCATAGGTTGCCTTTTCACTCTGTAGATTGTATCTTTTCATGCGCAGAAAAGTTTAATTTTGATGTAATCCAATTTATTATTTCTTTGGTTCCTGTGCTTTTGATGTTTTATTCAAGAAATCATTACCAAGTCCAGCATCAGGAAGCTTTTGCCCTATGTCTTCTTCTGGGAGTTTTATAGTTTTACCTCTTAGGTTTAGGTCTTTGATCTATTTTGAATACATCTTCGTATATGGTAAGATGAGGGTACGTCTTCATTCGTGTGCATGTGGAAATGACTGTCCTTTCCACATTAAATCATCTTGCCACTCTGCTTTAAAATCTTTTGATTTACACGTGACAGTTTATTCCAGGCTCTCTATTCAGATTCATTAATTCTGTATGTCTTTTTTTTTTTTTAAGTTTATTTATTTTGAGAGAGACAGAGCATGAGTTGGGGAGGGATAGAGAGAGGGAGAGAAAGAATCCCAAGCAGGATTCAGTGCTGACACTGTTGGCACAGAGCCCAGTGTGGGGCTTGAACTCACAAAGCCATGAGATCATGAGCTGAGCCAAAACCAAGAGTTGGATGCTTAACTGACTGAGCCACCCAGGCACCCCTATATGTTTGTCTTTAAGCCAGTACCACATTGTTCTGATTACTGTCACTTTATACTAAGTTTTGAAATTAGGAAGTGTCAGTCTACCAACTTTGTTCTTGGGGTTCTTGGGTGACTTAGTTAAGTGTCCGATTCTTTATTTCAGCTCAGGTCATGATCTCATAGTCATGAGGCTGGTCATGGAGGCTGCTCAAAATTCTCTCTCTCCCACTTCCTCTCCCCCACTCACACGCACACATATTCTCTCTCTCTCTCAAAGAAAAAAAAGGGGCGCCTGGGTGGCTCAGTCGGTTGAGCGTCTAACTTCGGCTCAGGTCATGATCTCATGGTCCGTGAGTTCGAGCCCCGCGTCGGGCTCTGTGCTGACAGCTCAGAGCCTGGAGTCTGCTTTAGATTCTGTGTCTCCCTCTCTCTCTCACCCTCCCCCGTTCATGCTCTCTCTCTGTCTTAAAAATAAATAAACATTAAAAAAAATTTTTTTTCAAAGAAAAAAAATGTTAACGATTGTTTTAGCTAAAACAATCTCAGGGCCCCTGGAGTTTACATACGGATTTTAGGATGTATTCTACTGTTCAGTACAATGTTCTATACATGTTGATTATGTCAGGTTGGTTGATAATGTTGTTGAGTCCACTAAATTCTTAGTGATTTTCTTTCTACTTATTGTATTCATTACTGAGTGATAGTGATATTTCTGATAATAATTGTGGGTTTGTCTATTTCTCATTCCAGTTCTGTTAATTTTTGCTTCATGTATTTTGAAGTTCTCTTATAGAGGCATAAAAATTTAAGATTTTTATGGTCTCTTAATTAAATGAACCAGATGTCATGATGAAATGACCTTTATCCTTGGTAATAGTCTTTGCTATGAAATCTACTTTTTTTCTGATATGTATGTAGTCATTTCACTTTTCTTTTCAATTATCATTAGTATGGTGTATCTTCTTCCTTGTAAATTATAATTATTTATGTATTTTTATTTAACATACACTTTTTATAGACAGCATATATTTAGTTCTTACTATTTTATCCAGTTCAACAGTGTCTGCCTTTTATTTGTGTTTTTTAGGCCACTTACATTTAATTTGATTTATACTGTTGTGTTTGAATCTATCATTTTGCTGTTTGTTTTCTGTTCTTTGTTCCCTTTTCTTTCTTTTTCTGCCTTTTTTGGATTAATATACTATATTTTATTATTACCTTTTATCTCCTTTATTGGCCTATTAGCTAAAACTTTTTGTTGTGTTACTTTAGTGGTTATGTTACAGGGTTCATAGTACACATTTTAACTTACCATAGTTTAACTTCAAGTGCTATATCTTCTCACATATTGGGTGAGAATCTTACACTAGAATACTTTCATTTCTCCTCTCCTGGCCTTTATGCTATTGTCTCGTATTTTTTTATATGTATATTATAAAGCCCACAATTATAATTATAATATAAATTATTATATTTGCTCAGTTAATTATCATTAGAGATTTAAGTAGTAAGAAAAAAATCTTTTCTGCTTTTTATTTCCAGTATTCTTCATTCTTTTGTCTAGATTCAGATTTTTGTGTGATACCATTTTTCTTCTGCCTGAAGCAAACTCTTTAACATTTCTTGTGTTGTGAGTCTGCTTTTGTATGTTTGAATGTGTCTGTTTTGCCTTTGTTTCCTTTAAGAAATATGATAATATTATTATCTTTGTTTCTCTGTGCATCTTTTTTTC